CCTGACGAGCTGTTGGAGTGCTAGTAGGGTAATATTTTGTGAGGGGATTCAGAGAAACCAGTTAGCTGGACTTGAGTCCTAGAGGTGGGAAATACAATGCCTGCACTTTATAGGAGGGGTTTGGGATATTGGTTGTTTGGACGGATATCTAAACTGTCATATTTGAGCGCCTCTGCAAAGACAGTGATTATGTATGAATGATGGTGAAAGTGTTAAACAAAGAAAATTTTTTCTTTTTTTTTCGTTTTTCTTCCTTTCTGGGTCACCCTGCCTCAGTGGGAAACAGCAGAAGTGTTAAAGAAAAATAAAACATGCAAGATAACAGGTATATCTTGCTACGTCTACTTATTGTTAGGTAAGACACACATGCAACAGTTAGGTATCTTTATTTCGAAACGTTTCGCCTACACAGTAGGCTTCTTCAGTCGAGTACAGAAAAGTTGATAGAAGCAGAAGAGACTTGAAGACGATGTAATCAGTCCATCACCCTTACCTAACAACCTGTCGGTATTTTATACCATTTTAACGTTCAATCTGTCAGACACTGCAACACAAGGGTATCTTGGTACAGACCTGAAATCAACTTCGACAACCTCTACTAGTGAGAACGGCTGGATTTGAGAGGGACCTGACCTCCCAAAGTGACCTACCTCTCACCTCCTGGCGCTATATAAGGCTCCATCCTATCACTTCAACTGCATATTGTTTCAGACTACGGAACAATGCTCTTCTCCAGACTGAGGGACTGACCACCTCAAAACTTTAAGGGTGATGGACTGATTACAACGTCTTCAAGTCTCTTCTGCTTTTATCAACTTTTCTGTACTCGACTGAAGAAGCCTACTGTGTAGGCGAAACGTTTCGAAATAAAGATACCTAACTGTTGCATGTGTGTCTTACCTAACAACCTGTCGGTATTTTATACCATTTTAATACTTCTACTTACACTTAGGTCACACCATACATGCATGTACATGCAAATATATATGAATTCATCCAGGTTTTCTTTTATTTTTTAATAGTTCTTGTTCTTTTTTAATTCCTTTTATCTCCATGGGAAAGTAGAAATGAATTTTTCCTCCGTAAGTCATGCGTGTCATAAGAGATGACTAAAATGCCGGAAGCAAGGGGATAGTAACCCCTTCTCCTGTATAAATTACTAAATTTAAAAAAAAAAACCTTGCATTTGGTGGGATATGGCTGGTTTGTTAAGAAAAAAAAAATTTATAACCATAGGCATTTTGTGCATGCTAGTGCATGGTGAACCCCCCAAAAAAGTTAACACATTCAACATCATTCATTAAATAGCTATCTTGTTAGAAGTGCAATGACAGCTCCAATGATCCTCTAAACTGTTACATCCCTACCCCTACTTCAGAGTGTAGACATTGTACCTCCCACCTCCAGGAGGGCTAGCAAAGTTTCCTCGAATCCCTTCATAAATGTTTCCTTGGTAGACACTAGCCACCTAGGAAGGTACTACCCTCCTGCCATTCAATATGTTGGCCATCTCCCACTGAGGCAGGGTGACCAAAAAAAAGACTTTCACCATCATTCACACAATATCAGTGTCTTCAGAGCTGTTCAGATATGATAGTTTAGATGTCACTCTAAACAGCCAATATCCCAAATATCCCAATATCCCAGTGCAGGCACTGTACTTCCCACCTCCAGGACTCAAGTCTGGCTAACTGGTTTCCCCGAATCCCTGCACAAAATATTACCCTGCTCACACTCCAACTTGTCAGGTCCTAAAAACCATTTAGTATCTCCATTCATTCCTATCTAACAAGCTCACACATGCCTGCTGGATGTCCAAGGTCCCTTGCACACAAAAGCCTCTTTTACCCCCTCCCTCATTTTCTATGGCTATCCCTACCCCTCCACTACAGATTTATAAACCCTCCAAGTCATTCTATTTTGCTCCATCCTCTCTAAATGACCAAACCACCTCAATAACCCTCTGAATAATACTTTTTGTAACTCCACACCTCTCCCTGATTTCCACACTACGAATTCTTTGCTGTCCTGCCAAGGGAGTGTAAAACAGAAGCCTGTAATTGTCTTGCATGATGGTAGGATTGCTAGTGTCTTTTTTGTCTTATAAATACGCAAGATTTCAGGTACGTCTTGCTACTTCTACTTACACTTAGGTCACGCTACACATGCACATATAAGCATATACATACACACCCCTCTGGGTTTTCTTCTATTTTCTTACTAGTTCTTGTTTATTTCCTCTTATCTCCATGGAGAAGTGGAACAGAATTCTTCCTCCGTAAGCCATGCATGTTGTAAGACACAGCTAACGTGCCAGGAGTAAGGGGCTAGTAACCCTTCTCTGTGTACATTACTAAAATTAAAGAGAAACTTCTGTCTTTCTTTTTGGGCCACCCTGCTTCAGTGAGATATGGCTGGTTTGTTGAAAGAAGAATTCTCTACATAATATTTACACCACACATTCCCCTTGGACACATCTCCAGCCTCTGCTCACTGCAACATTCACAATCCACGTTTCACACTCGCACAAGTGTGTTGGTATCGCTATACTCTCGTAAATTCCCTCCCTTGTCTGCCACATGAGCGTGAAATGAAAACTTGTTTAATGTTTTACAATCTGGTAGGATCTCGGGTCTTTTTTTTTTTCTTATTAAAACTTGTGATGATACATGTAATTGTGCAAATATACATATGGGTATGCTTACTCATCTTAATTCTTACCCTTATTGTAATTCCTTTCAATTCCATGAGAAGCTGTGTTAGAATCCTTTCTCCATAAGTAATGAATGTTGAAGGTGACTAAAATGCTGAGTGCAAGGGGCTAGTAACCCCTTTCTTTGTATTATATACTAAAGAAACAGTTATTAGTGTTAAACAGAAGATTGAAGTTGGATCTGACAATGCAAGAATTTTTAACTTAATATGATTTATATGATGCTCATTACCAGTTACTAACTAAACTTCCATCACACTTTCTCATAAATTCATAACTCGGCACACTAATGAAATTCAATTAACAGTACAGCGAGTTACATGTATGGATAACTGTTAGGGGAATATATATGTATATCCCATTCTTGTATGTATTTTCTGATTTCATACAGCCCACCATGTGGGCAAAACATTATCATGGATAAAGGTATCTACTGCATCCAAGAGTTGTTTACTTTAGCTCATCTGTATTTACTTACTGTTCCAATTCCAGTACATGTATATACAGGCACAGATGAAGGAACATGAGGTGTATTGGACAATCTTGAGGTAAAGACTCTTATCTTTGTCTCATTCTTTGATGACTAACTAGTTCAGCATCTGCCCATTTCATAACATAGGCATTGTATAACAAGTTCTGCATGACTGTGAGGTTGTTGCTGTTAGAGATATTGATGGATCACTAAAGAAACAAATTAACAGGTACATCATTTTTCCCAGCAATAGAATTCCTACAAACTTCAACATACTGTCCAAAAGCAATAACAATATCGCTGCAGTCATCACTTCCCCTATAATCAATAAACCTCACTAGAACTAAACATCACTATGATGCAGAAGAAGCAGGAGTCTATATCATTTTTTACAATGGTTATTACAAATGTTACAAAGGGAAAACTTCAAAGGACACTGTCACATGGGAAATGGGCAGATGCTGACTAGTCATCAAAGAACAAGACAGGTGAAAGTTGAAGAATTTAAATAAAAGGCACAAAACTGCGACTTGAACAACTCACAAATAACCTGCCCCCTCTCGTATATATACTGGCTCCTTTTCCTTCACTCTCGCATGTCTAATTATGGTCCAAGTCGGAATGAAATATTGTCATTTCTAGAGGGACTAGTACCAAACTTGCACACGAAAATCACTCTCTACGAAAGCAAAAGACTCGGCAGATGATGCAACATCCCCCCAATGAAAAGCAGGGGTGTCACTAGCCCGTTAAGAGATAACACAATAAGTGTCAGGGGCCCAAGACTGTTCAACTGCCTCCCAGCATACATAAGGGGGATTAACAATAGACCCCTGGCTGTCTTCAAGCAGGCACTGGACAAGCACCTAAAGTCGGTACTTGACCAGCCGGGCTGTGGTTTGTACGTTGGCTTGCGTGCAGCCAGCAGTAACAGCCTGGTTGATCAGGCTCTGATCCACCAGTGAGGCCTAGTCACAGACCGGGCTGCAGGGGAGTTGACCCCCGGAACTCTCTCCAGGTAAACTCCAGGTACGTGAAGGTTATTTGTGTAAAGGTAAATGTTGTTTAGAATATGCCCTTTCCAGCACCTCTAACATTATTATACAGAACCAGAGTATCTTTATGTTAACATTTACATCACACCTGCAAATTATCCAGGCATCCAGATTATTAATTGCATTAATGAGTGCTAAACCCATAAGTCATGCAGCACCTAGGGAAATGGAGGCAATCAGATTTGATCAGAGGAGGAGGGCAGCTCCACTTCGGGCATCCAGAAGCCAATATTATAGTCCAGTGTATGCCCTGGAGTGGTGCTTCCTCACCTTTCTTTGTGTACTTGTATATACATATACTCCCATTTCTCATATATTGTCTTCTGAGTTGATAAAGCCCACTGTGTGGGCAAAATATTGTAATTAATAAATGTATCCTCTACATTTAAGTGTCACTTACTTCCTTTAGGTTTATTTTTTTCAGATAACCTGATAAATGAAGCACAGGCATCATATAAGTGAGCTTTTGGAATCTTTCACACACTTTTTTTTAAAGCACCTTGCCGTCAAGTATTTTAATGACTAGGCAAAAACCACATAATTATTATAATCATGGGAAAATACTAACTCCATTGGGAGTCCTACAGAGCCTAGGGAAATGAAGGCAATCAGGCTTGATCCAAGGAAGATGTAGATAGCTTCAGTCTGATGGATGAGTCCTTCACCAGTTCAAGGCATTCCCACTTACCCTTTTGATAAGGATCATAAAAGCATAGAATAGGCAAGGCATTGATTCTGTAACAGAAATAACTCAAATACATATAAAAATTTCCTTTATTTTCCTTTGGAGTATTGGAATAGTTCATGTTGCATAAAACATAGCTGCATCTTGAGCAGAAAATAATGCAGCACAGCAGCAGAGTGCTGGTTCCATTTACATAGTATAAAAACTGCCTCTTGCATACCTAAATACTAATACTTTTTACAAAACTTTTACAAAAATGTACATACAAGACAACACTGTAAGTGACCACATAGAATGAGGCCTGTACAACCAATTTTGACAGGTCAACAAGCCTGTTAAGGAATGTAACCCAAAGTCACTTTGGCACAGCATAACTACTGGTTGAGTTGATAGTGTCTAGAAGAGTCTGTCAAATAAGATTCTTGTATATCAAAAGCTAAAAGCATAATAAAAATCAGCATAAAATGTATGTTTTTGGACCTTTGCTAATCTAATAATATACCTCTTCAATATAAGGGATCTATATAAATCTGTACATAAATATGTAATACTAAACGTCATGTACAAATATCAGGATATCAGGCTAGCATCATCTTCAACAATTCTTATAGGCAAATAAATTTATTATATACTGTCAAGGCAAATTTATGGATGGCAACTTATAATCATACAGATCACTGTACTAAGGCACCTAATCCCGATGCATTTAATCTTCTTTATAGGCTTAAAAGCAAAATATATTAAAAACAGTGCAACCTTAAAACCTTGTTCTCATCTTCAGAATTCCAAGACTCATTCGATTAGCTTTGATTATTAGTAACGTTTCAGATTAAAATTATTATAAATTACTACATAAAAAGAATAGTTGCACATTATCCAGGTACTGTAACAATATAAAACATTTGGTCCCTCACTTTATATACAACTGAATTATATTGGAAAGGTAAGACAGTTCATCCTATAACTCAAATAATATACCTTCTGGAATGTTGCACTATACAGTGAGTACATGGCTACAAATGCTAAGACTCCAACATTCCATCAGTAAGCAGTATCTAAGGCATGGGAAATAATTCTTAAACCAATGACTTCAGAATAATTTACACCTCTGTTTTCATGTTGCTTCCATCACACATATTTTACAAGTAGTATTTCACATATGCACAAAATTATATTTATTTTGAATAAATTAATTGGCTTAATTTTTTCATAAAAGTTTTGTCTATACACTTGTTTTATGACACCTTTATACACTCAGTGATACACTGCTCTCATACTTTTGACCCTGGTACTGTGAGCTTGGTAGTATGATGGTGTGGTGGTGGTGGTGGTGGCTTGTAGTGTGACCCAGTGTAATGACTTGCTGGCCGATAACCTGATGCATAAATCCCTTCCAAGTGGGGAAGGTCACGTGGGCGCTCACGGGGAATGTCTGTATGTTCTCGATGGAGTGGATGAGATACTGGTTGAACCATGTTGACTCCTGTATGGTTTCCACGGGCAGACTGATTATGTACAAATGAGCCAGAGGTTTGTTTAAACATGGTCATGTGATGTGGTTGAGAGTTACCAAGGAACAAGGAGTTCTGTATATTACTGCCATTACCACCATCTGATAAAACAAATTATAATTAAAACCAATTCAGTAGTATCAAAGCAAGCATAGCTATAACTTTTAAATGGTTAGTGTGACTTATCAACTGCTTAACATAACTAAAAGACTGAAAGCAAGATAAGAAGTCATATGGTGGTAATTATTTTTATAATCAAAAGAAGTGCTAAACCCATGAGGGTCATTACAGTACAGCAGGGCAGGAGGTAGTGCAGGATAACAGAGGAGAGTTAGAAAGGGCTGTGAGGACTGCTAAAGGAGTATCAATGTTTATGTAATAAATCAGTTACTGTCAAAAGGTCAAAGAGGGAGTCTGTGTTTAACCCTTAAACGGTCCAAACAGATTGACGTTCAAATTCATAGTGCTACAAAAGCAGATCTACTTTTTTTTACATATTTCAAATATAACAAAAAAATAATGTAGATAAAAGTTTTTTTTACAGGTTTTCAAATGTAAAACAAAAAAGAAGATCTACATTTTTTACATACTTTCAGATGTTGAAAAAATGTATATATACGTTTGGACCATTTAAGGGTTAAGGTGGGGGCATCAGCAAGGAGGGAAGATAAAGTAAGGGCATTAGAGTGGTGATAACATTGGAGGAAAATTCTGTATGCTCGTTGATAAACAGGACATAGTGGTAGTAAATCCTGTATACTAAAATATTTAGAATGTGTGTCAGCAGCTGGGTCCATGAAAGATAAGGTGAATCACAAAATAGATGGAGAAAAGAAATTGGCAAAAGTATGGAGGAATATATGAAAAAGAAATTTATTAGTGAATCCACAAATGTCAATATATCTGAGACTAACAGTTGTGATACTCTTGTTTTAGTGTAAATTTATAATTTGAAAGTAAAAGGGCAGCTGATATGGTTTTATGTAGAAAGGATGTAGAAAATGTCTGAGGAAGGGTTGAGAGAATGGTGTGAGGGTTCTGTGAGCTAGGAACTTGAGCATCCAGCAGGCGTGTGTGTTAGATCAGAGCAGAGGCAAGTAATTTGGGGAATTTGATGTGTGGTTATAGTGAGATCATGGTAATATCTATGAAAGGATTCAGGAAAGCTAGCAAGCCAAATTTTAGTTTTGCAGGTGGAATGTAGGGTGCCTGCACTTTAAAGTCAGGTTGAAATGTTAGAATTATGTCAGCACTTTTGGAAAGACAGCTAAGGAATGAGTATAGGTAATCATAACTTTCTTCCTTAACCCTTTCAGGGTCCAGAGGCTAAATTTCAAAATGTGCACCAGGGTCCAAGAATTTTCAAAAAAAAATTTGTTATTTTTTCTTATGAAATGATAGAGAATCTTTTTCTGAAGGTAATAAAACAAAAAGTAAGAAATTTGACAGAAAATTTACGAAATTATGCTCTTACGAATTTTGATGTGTCAGCAATATTTATGCATCGGCGATTTTCCCAACTTTGACTCCCATTTTAGACCAATTACATTATTCCAGTCGACCAAATTCTTAGCTATTTCACTAGTATTACTTCTATTCTATGGATTGAGCACAAGAAATCGCCAAGTCAACTGTTTCAACTGCAAAATAAAGTGATCGGAAATTGGTAATTTGGCCAATTTAACACAATGTTCAAAATATTCCAATTTCAAAATAGGGTCCAGAATAAACAATGCAGGCATTCCTGGCACTAAACTAACATTTCCTCTGTTCATTAGTTACATTTTCAGGCTTTACAAATGAATTCCATTTTGATTTTTTATTCACATAATGAATTTTTATTCAAACCAAAAAATAGAAGATTTACTGATATGCAATAATTGTATAAATAATATCACCATTAAGTTTTTCTTCTTCTCTTTTTTAGTAAATGTCTACAGGAGAAGGGGTTACTAGCCCATTGCTCCCGGCATTTTAGTCGCCTCATACGACACGCATGGCTTACGGAGGAAAGATTCTTTTCCACTTCCCCATGGACAATAGAAGAAATAAAGAAGAACAAGAGCTATGTAGAAAAAGGAGAAAAACCTAGATGTATGTATATATATATGCATGAAGGAGGGGTGCTAATGTTGCAGTTTAAAAACTGTAGTGTAAAGCACCCTTCTGGCAAGACAGTGATGGAGTGAATGATGGTGAAAGTTTTTCTTTTTCGGGCCACCCTGCCTTGGTGGGAATCGGCCAGTGTGATAATAAAAAAAAAATATCACCATATTTGTGAACGTTTATTAGACCCACCAACTGGCGTGTATTAGACGTGTGAGGTCATCTGTTTACTCTTGAACATCAACAAAAATTTAACATTCCCGGTACTTTGAGCTAAGTTTCAAGCCCCTTCCAGTACTAAAACCAATCAAAATCATCTCTATTTCTGTAATATATCTTCCATTCTATCAAATGAGACCAAGAAATCGCAAATACAGCTATAAAAAAGGTATGAAAAAACATTGCAAATTCGCTGTTTTAATAAAAAATTACGGTCTCATTTTTTTCCTCATTATGCAATATGTACAGGATTTGTTTTATGTGGTGCACATATACCATATTGATGTATTCTCTCATATCTAGGCCCAAATTCACTGCTCACAGCTTATCAGAGCGAGTTGAGCTCATGGCGTAGAATTAAGATAAGATTTCGTTCGGATTTTTAACCCCGGAGGGTTAGCCACCCAGGATAACCCAAGAAAGTCAGTGCGTCATCGAGGACTGTCTAACTTATTTCCATTGGGGTCCTTAATCTTGTCCCCCAGGATGCGACCCACACCAGTCGACTAACACCCAGGTCCTATTTGCTGCTAGGTGAACAGGACAACAGGTGTAAGGAAACGTGTCGAAATTTTTCCACCCGCCGGGAATCGAACCCGGGCCCTCCGTGTGTGAAGCGGGAGCTTTAGCCACCAGGCCACCATTACGGTTTGGACCTTCAATTCAAAGCCATAGAACTACGGCATGGACCCTGAAAGGATAAAGTAGCTATGTCTGGTGAAAAATAGCCTGTGTAAAGAGCACACAATATACTTAAGTACCTGAAGTTTTCTAAATCTGCAGTTCAGGGAATTGCAAATACAAAATGATTGTATGATCGAAGGGCTGTAAACTTTTGTGAATCATGAGGAACATCAATTTCAATCACAAGTGAAACCAAATGAAGCCAAAGAACAGCATTATCACTCATACTGTAACTAAAGTCGATAATTTTTTTAAAATATTTTCTATACACACTGAGATGGCTATAATAATACTGCAACTGCCTACATGGTTTTAAATTAATTAAATTCTTGTTAAGGCAAAGTTTCCTACTGTAGGTGCAGGGATTAGTAAGTGTTCTTTAGTCAATTTCATTTCTCAAACTAAATACTGAGTCATGCTATATTTCACCATCTAACAGTGCATTATCTCAAAGAGATAGTATCAAGACATGAATTCATGCTGAAATTTTTAATCAATCTTTCTAGTATTTCTTAAAACTGGCTATCCTCACACATCAAGGCTTTCCTGTTGCTGCATTATACATGAGCTGTTTCAAGGCAATTAATAAAATGATACAACAGAAATTTGGCAAGAAGCATGGAATCATTAACAAAATAATGATGCTGGTAAAGCAGTGGTTCTGAACAGAAAAATATGACTGGCATAATTTTCTCACTGGAGAGTCTACCCCGCATGTAAAGTACTGCAACAATGCTGAAATTTTTTTTAAACTGATTCATCAACTCCTTAGATGATACGAAGACAGAGAGTTGGCAAATGAAAAGACTGACTTATGTGGAACAAAATATACTTAACAGTTATTTAGGATAGTGGAGATACAGTAATGCTATACAATGTTCAGAAAAAAAATACCTTAATGTTCTTCAATCATCTGGTATAACAAGTGGAAACAGATGTAAAGGTCTTCAAAAAAGACTGCCATTTATGTTTTCAAATTTCTCTGCACACTCACCTTGATTACTGCATTCCAGCATGGAAACAATATTTACAAGGACATAACATCATTGAAAAAGAACAATGTAGGCTGACTAAACTCGTTTAAAAACTGTCACCCTTAACAGTTAGACAAGCCAAAGGATGAAGGACGAAACTTTTCAAACATGAAAGGGCACTTAAGTTGTTCAGCAAGTTAGGTAATATAAACCTAGACAACTTTCTTACTATATCCAATGTAACAAACCCACATTTCCTATAAGATGGGGAAAAGCCCTACCACAAGTTTTAGACTTCCTGTTCCCATGTAGGCCAAAATGCACCGACCACTGAGTTCAGCCAGTAAGGCAGCAATCATTCTTGTTGTGGCCTGTTATTGGGTATCACTAATTTCCCACCCTTCAGTAGACAATATTGTCTTTAGCACTGTATGCCAGTGGTTATTTCTTTGTGCTTCCCCACCACAGGATCAATGTTTGTGAACAGGTCATCACAAAACCCATTTCCAGTGATTTTTCCCTTACAAATAATCCAACAACAAGGCCTTCATAAACTCACTTCTGGCAAGAGATGCAGCAGCTGCAGCAACTGGGGGTGGTCCAGGTGGTGGAGGATGATGTCTTCTTGGAAGTGAGGTATTGCTGTTCTCTTGGGCATGAGAAATCATGGCCTGGACACTTTCATATTCATAGTAATTGCTGATGGGTCGGTGCTGGTGATCACGGCCAGAATCCCGAGGACCCCTCTGGCTCTGATATTCTCGGGCTTCACGACTGGAGTATTATCATTGTGTTAGTTTATAATAACCATAAATTCTTAAGCATAATTTCTGGTGACATGAATTCTTGTTGTACAAACATGGAAAGATGAATTTGTTAATAGACAATATAACTAATTACAGTACTTATAAAAGTTCAGTACTTAAATGTAAATAAAAGGAAGACTTACAGTTTATATTCTAATACTGGCAACATAAATTGGAAAAGCTTATCACCACCTATTTAATAGTGATGTAAAACTAATTACTGTACCCTAATATAGTGCAGGTACTAGAATTACATTAGTAAATATAATTTTACAGATGTATTTGAAATATAAGCTTCCACCACAGCAAAATAATATTTATTGCACAAAATGTAAAAATTTCATTACATCCTACACATCATTTGCTGTCAATTTTTGCTCAATCTGAGTTCTATTTTAAGGCAATCCATTGCTCTGTTCGACCAAATTCTTAGGTATTTCACTAGTATGCCTTGCATTTTGTTGACCGACCACAAGAAACTACCCATTCAACTACAGTGGACCCCCGGTATTCGATGGCATCGGTATTCGATAAATCCGGTATTCGATGCATTATATTGCAAAAATTTTGCCTTGGTACCCAATCGAAAACCCGGTATTCGATGCGATTCGTACAAGATGTGTCCACGTGTGGCTTAAACTGCCCTGTGTGTGCCAGTGTTTACAAGCCAGCCAGTGTGCGCGCATCTAAGGATACATTCGGTGCATTCCACATTATCACTGTTTTTGATGCTTGTTTCTGCAAAATAAGTCACCATGGGCCCCAAGAAAGCTTCTAGTACCAACCCTTCAAGAAAAAAGGTGCTAATGACTACTGAAATGAAGAAAGAGATAATTGCAAAGTACGAAAGCAGAGTGCGTGTGTCGGAGCTGGTCAGGTTGTATAGTAAACCCCAATCAACCATCTACTATAGTGACCAGGAAAACGGCAATCAAGGAAGCTGTTCTTGCAAAAGGTGCAACTGTGATTATGAAACAGCGACTGCAAGTGTTAGAAAATGTGGAGAGACTGTTACTGGTGTGGATAAATGAAAAACAGATAGCAGGAGATAGCATCTCTCAAGCGATCATTTGTGAAAAGGCATTGGCAGTTGCATGAAGATTTGGTAAAGAAATTGCCTGCAACTAGTGCTGATGTGAGTGAATTTAAGGCCAGCAAAGGTTGGTTTGAAAGATTTAAGAATCGTAGTGGCATACATAGTGTGATTAGGCACGGTGAGGCTGCCAGTTCGGACCAAAAAGCAGCTGAAAAATATGTGAAGGAATTCAAGGATTACATAGACAGTGAAGACTTGAAACCTGAACAAGTGTTTAATTTCGACGAAACAGGCCTGTTTTGGAAGAAAATGCCAAGCAGGACCTACATTACTCAGGAGGAAAAGGCACTCCCAGGGCATAAGCCTATGAAAGACAGGCTTACTCTGTTGATGTGCGCCAATGCTAGAGGTGACTGCAAAGTGAAGCCTTTATTGGTGTATCACCCTGAAACTCCCAGTGTGTTCAGGGAAAACAATGTCCTCAAGGCTAATTTGTGTGTGCTGTGGAGGGCAAACAGCAAGGCATGGGTCACTAGGGACATTTTCTATGACTGGTTACACCATGCATTTGCCCCCACTGTGAAAAATTACCTAATTGAAAAGAAATTAGACCTTAAGTGCCTCCTGGTATTAGACAATGCCCCTGGTCATCCTACAGACTTGGCAGAGCGACCTTCTGGGGAAATGAGCTTCATTAAGGTCAAGTTTTTGCCTCCTAATATCACTCCTCTCCTGCAGCCCATGGACCAGCAGGTCATTTCCAACTTCAAGAAACTGTACACAAAAGCTATGTTTCAAAAGTGCTTTGTAGTGACCACAGAAACTCAACTGACTCTAAAAGAGTTTTGGAAGGATCACTTTAATATCATCAATTGTATAAACCTTATAGGTATGGCTTGGAAGGGAGTGACTAAGAGGACCTTCAACTCAGCTTGGAAAAAAACTGTGGCCAGAATGTGTAGACAAAAGGGATTTTGAAGGGTTTGAGGCTAACCCTGAGAAGCCTATGCCAGTTGAGGAATCCATTGTGGCATTGGGGAAGTCCTTGGGGTTGGAGGTTAGTGGGGAGGATGTGGAAAAGTTGGTGGAGGAGGGCAATGAAGAACTAACCACTGATGAGCTGCTAGATCATCTTCAACAGCAAGAGGCCACACCTGAGGAAACTGCTTCTGAGGAGGGGATAGAGAAATTGAAGAAGTTGCCTACTTCAAAGATTAAGGAAATGTGTGCAATGTGGCTTAAAGTGCAAAACTTTTTTGATGACCATCTCACTAACACAGCTATTGCAAGCCATGCTGGTGACTATTACACTGACAATGTTGTGAAACACTTTAGGAATGTCATAAAGGAACGGGAGGTACAGGCCACTATGGACAGATATGTTGTGTGACAGAAGTCCAATGACTCTCAAGCTGGTCCTAGTGGCATTAAAAGAAGGGAAGTAACCCCGGAAAAGGACTTGCTACCTCAAGTCCTAATGGAAGGGGATTCCCCTTCCAAACACTAACACCTCTCTCCTCCTCCCATCCCATCAATCATAACCAGATCTTCATTAACCCTTTGAGGGTTTCGGCCGTACTAGTACAGCTTACGACCCAGGGTTTTTGACGTACTAGTACGCCTAAATTCTAGCGCCCTCAAATCTAGTGAGAGAAAGCTGGTAGGCCTACATATGTAAGAATGGGTCTATGTGGTCAGCGTGCGCAGTATAAAAAAAAAAAAAATCCTGCAGCACACGGTGCGTAATGAGAAAAAAAAAACTTTGACCGTGTTTTTGGATTAAAACAGCGACTTTGCACTGTACTTTCGTATGGTATTTATTGTTGTGTTCTAGCTTTCTTGGTCTCATTTTATAGAATGAAAGACATATTACAGAAATTGAGATGATTTTGACTGGTTTTACAATGAAAAGTACCTTGAAATTGAGCTCAAAGTAGCAGAAATGTTTGATTTTTACCAAAGTTCAAAAGTAAACAAATCATGCCAAGCGTCCAATACACGTCAACTGGCGAGTCTAATATTATTTCACAAGTGCGCTGATATTATTTATACCATTTCTACACTAATGCAGTAGTCTGCATAACAGTAAATCTTATTTTTTTTGTAAGAATAAAAATTCAAAGTGGAAAGCCAAAGAAACATAAGAAGGGCCTGGGGATGTGACTAACAAACAGAGGAAATGTTATTTTAGTGCCAGGAATGTCTTTCTTGCTTATTCTGGATCCTATTCGGAAATTGGCATCTTTTGAAATTTGTGTGAAATTGGCAAAATTGCTAAATTCCGACCACTTTATTGGATAGTTGAAATCAGTAAATGGGTGGTTTCTTGTGCTCATTCTATAGAAAAAATGGAGTTCTAGCGAAATAGTTATGATTTTTGTCGATTAGTACACTGGAATTGGCAGAAAATAGGGCTCAAAGTGGGCAAAATCGCCGATGCGTAAACATCGTCGAGACTGCTAATTTCGCGAGAGCATAATTCCGTAAGTTTTCCATCAAATTTCACACTTTTGGTGTCATTATGATCGGGAGAAGATTCTCTATCTTTTCATAAGAATTTTTTTTTTTTTTTGAAATTTGGCCGACCCAGAGAGCAAGTCTCTGAGAGAACCTGTCGACCCCCAAAGGGTTAATTCCTAAACCTTTTGCATTAAGTTCCATGAGATTCCACTTGAGTGGTACTCTGTCTCTGGTCTCTGTTTTCCAGGTGCCTAATTTCATTACTTTGCACTTGCAAGGTTGAAACTGAGTAGCCATTTGTTTAACCTTTCTGTATTCTGAAAAGATTTCAATGTAGTTTTCTGCTGCTGTCTTTTTATTTTATTGTAAATCTATCATTAACCCTTTCAGGGTCCAAGGCCCAAATCTGGAGTCACGCACCAGTGTCCAAGAATTTTCAAAAAAAAAATTTTTTATTTTTTCTTATGAAATCGTAGAGAATCTTTTTGTGAAGGTAATAAAACAAAAAGTACGAAATTTGGTGGAAAATTGACGAAATTATGCTCTCGCGAATTTTGATGTGTCAGCGATGTTTACGAATCGGCGATTTTGCCGACTTTGACTCCCATTTTAGGCCAATTACATTATTCCAATCAACCAAATTCTTAGCTATTTCACTAGTATTACTTCTATTCTATCGATTGAGCACAAGAAATCGCCAAGTCAACTGTTTCAACTACAAAATAAAGTGATTGGAAATTGTTAATTTGGCCAATTTAACACAAAGTTCAAAATATTCCAATTTCAAAATAGGGTCCAGAATAAACAATGTAGGCATTCCTGGCACTAAACTAACATTTCCTCTGTTCATTAGTTATGTTTTGAGGCTTTACAAATAAATTCCATTTTGATTTTTTATTCACATAATGAATTTTTATTCACACCAAAAAATAGAAGATTTACTGTTATGCAATACTGTGATAATTGTATAAATATCATCACCATATTTGTGAATGTATATTAGACCCACCAGCTGACGTGTATTAGACATGTGAGGTCGTTTGTTTACTCTTGAATATCGGCAAAAATTTAACATTTCCGCTACTTTGAGCTCAGTTTCAAGCCATTTCCAGTGCTAAAACCAATGAAAATCATCTCTATTTCTGTAATATGTCTTCCATTCTATCAAATGAGACCAAGAAATCGCAAATACAACTATAAAAAACATACGAAAAAACACTGCAAAGTTGCTGTTTTAATCGAAAAATCATGATTTCAGTTTTTTTCTCTCATTATACACAGTGTGCTGCAGGATCTGTTTTATGTGGTGCACACATACCACATAGATGTATTCTCTCATATCTAGGCCCAAATGTACCACTCACAGTTTATCAGAGTGAGCTGAGCTCATGGCGTAGATCTACGGTTTGGACACTCACCATAAAGCCGTAGATCTACGGGACGGACCCTGAAAGGGTTAATTTCCCACCAAG